TATATATATATATATATATATAGATAGATAGATATACAGTATATGTATATATGTATGTATATATAGAAACATCATAATATTTGATTTTTATTACATTTAATTCAGGTGGCCAGCCCCCAAGATGGCAGCAATAATTAAGTTAGCCACTGCTGCTATTAACACGTCACGAAAACTTTAGCATAACTAATGTGTAGAACCTAGAAGTTAGTCAGACCACAGACTTTAAGGAAGTCCAGCTGAATTAGTGATCCATGAATAAATAGATTTCTTTGTTACTTTCTACTTTGTGCAGCTAGCTTTAGCAGTAATGAAACCAGGAGGATCCACCATTGTTTTCGACAGGTGACTGTACTGTATCCTGTACTGTATATTGACCGCTTCATCTGAGAGAAAGTGCGCTTTAAATTCTCTGCGGCATTTTACAGAGCCATAATGTCCCAGTCAAAAATAACTCCGGAGTTCATCACAGTCCGAATGGAGGTAATGCCATCCTAAGTGGTTTAAACGTCAGATAATTGCTCTGTTAAACTGCCTGGAGTTGACAATATTCCAAGTACTAACAAAGTTATGTCCGCGTTCAGAAGCGTCATTCAGAAAGTCATTCAACCATGGCTGTGAGAAAAAAGATTTACAAAACAAAAACATAACTTTTGACATAAAATTGACAAACACAGACGAACAACACTTTTCCACTGACCTACAAATTCCGGAGTTCCAAAGATGTTTTTAAAATCGTTGCTAAAATCCATCTTGTGGGCCAGGCCAAAGTCAATGATCTTGATGCGTGGGTGAGGCACTGAGCGGTTAAGCAGCATGATGTTCTCTGGCTGAGAGAAAGAAAAAATAAACTATAAACAGAATTCTGACAACAGTGAGTTAATTTTAATAGAGAAAATGTAATAAAACATAATAATATATATTAAACATGATATAATGGTGTGAAAAGGCAACATTTTTTGCCTTTGACCCTACTGAAAACACACAACCCTACATTTGAGAGTCACTATGAAAAATCAAAAATGTTGATTTTGTTAGTCAAATGAGGGCGAGAGTGTTTTTTTTTTAACAGAAACATTAAATTTATTTTTATTTCTCTTCTTCTTCTTCTTTCGGCTTTGTCCCTTTTTCAGGGGTTGCCACAGCAAATCATTGATTTCCATCTCTCCCTGTTCTCTGTATCTTCTACTCTGACTCCAACTACCTGCATGTCCTCCCTCACTGCATCCATATATCTCCTCTTTGG